GGGGGGGGTTCTTCTCACTGCTTGAGGCGACCTGTATTTCTATATATTTTACAACAGATTTGTTTCAACAATGAACTTCAAAGTGCAAAGCTTCCATTGATTTTACAGACGGGTTCCATGCATGCTTTGATTTTCACCTCCAGTGCAGGAGAGCCATATGCATGGCTGAACGTTAACTTATTCACCGGTAAATTGTGCCCATTGTTCAAACATGTGCGATCATGTATAATGCACCCGGCTCACATTAACTCAAGTGCAGTTGTGAAGTGGACATTTGCGCTCATCCTCTCATAACTGTACCACGCACATTATTTCCTATAAAAACCATTATTCGGAGCACTCAAAAAGATTTTGCCCTCCGAGGAAATAACGTACAATTTAGGCTGCAATGCCTCAACCGAAAAAGGCCCGAAATGGGATTGTCAATATTAATACATCTCCGCTAGCTGTTCCCCTCGAGGTTTATAACTCTGGCAGTCGTAAAAAAAACGCTCTAAAAACAGATCAATGGAAAATACTCAAGAGCTTGTGATGAAATTCACACCCTGTATGCTTCAGACAGTTTGATAACCTTCTCCCTGCTGCCGAACCTTATAATCAATACAAATTTGGTACCAAATGACTACCTTTAAGTTAGCAGTTTGAAGGTTAAAGGCATCCAATGCAATTTCAGAGCAGCAAAACTGGACATATTCTGAATAAGGCAATCTTTGTGACATTGACACATACTGCTTCAGATTAGCACATTTCAATCAGTATTTCATATGTTGGTGATTGTTGGGCATTTAAAACTGCATAAGCAAGCCTCAAGATGAGGCCTTAAGGGCTGATACAGTTCCTTTGTGGCTGTCCATCCTAAAAGCCAGGTGTGCTAAAACGGTTAATGACATCGAATCATCAATATCTTCACAGGTACCAAATTACTACCTTAGCAGATTGAAAGTTAATACTAAAGCTGACACAGTAGCTTTGTGGCTGTCAACAACCTAAAACCAGGTTTGCTAAAATGGTTAACGACACCAAATCATCGATATCTTCACAATGCATTCCTGCTGCCAAAGCAGAAAAACATTCCATCTCCAATATCAGCCCCTATCATACTTGTGGTTTACTGATTCAAACTACTTATCAATATGGCCAAATTTGGTACCAAATGGCTACCTTAGCAGATTGAAGGTTAACAGCTGACACACTAGCTTTGTGGCTGTCCAGGTGTGCTTCGGTTAATGACATCGAATCATCGATATCTTCACAACTCCTGCTGCCAAAGCAGAAAAACATTCCATCTCCAATATCAGCCCCTATCATACATGTGGTTTTCTGATTCAAACCAATCAATACCCTTGTCACAAGTGATTCCTCCCTCATCCTAAATTTTTCTAGAAAAACCCAAGATTCGATATCTTCACAATTCCTGCTGCCAAAGCAAAAAATGCTAAAACATTCCATCTCCAATATCAGCCAGTATCATACTTGTGGTTTACTGATTCAAATGAATCAATAGCTAATGTCACTAGTCATTCCTCTCTCCCTGTATCCCTCTACTCTCGGGGATGCGCGCCTGTGATCCGGCCGAGCTATATTTAGCTAATATTGCCAGCAGCACCCGATAAAGCTCGGCAGACCGCATCTCTGCAATCAATTCCTCTTAAGGATGGTTAAGTTAATTATATGCCCTTTGTGTGCGAGTTGAGAGGAGGGTAGTTTGATGGAGTGCATGTGACTTGTGTTGTGCCGTTTGCAGCCCGAGCATCAGACCGAATATCCGATTTTAACATCATTTTTGCCTGAAACGGGGGTTAGAAGTGCTTGCATCAAATGCAAGTCTTTTTTTGTAGCAAGATTTTTATGGCAGATGCCCTTCCTAATGCCAACCCAAACTCGAGTAGGGTCCAGGATCCCTCTAACTGAGGGGGAAATACGTGTAAAGTGCCTTTCCCAAGGGCACAACGTCTGGGCACATGTCTGGACATGTCTGGGTCCAACCCTGGGGATTGATCCTGGTCTCCTTGCTTGACAGTCGGATGCTCTATCCACTTTAACACCACATTGTGGAATGGAAGCGAAAAATGTTGACAAATGGCAGCAGTTATAAATACAGACGACGAAACTAGATTCCAGCCGGTATCAGATTCAATCGGGCTGCATCAAGCGATATCTAGTCAGACAGCTGCGATAGATAAATATCCATTATGGTGCAGTGAATAGAAATATACATTAAGTCTGTGAGTGTTTCTTTTATTCCTCTTGCTTGTTGCGTGGTGCAGGCACAGTTGGGGCATCATCACTAGAAAGCTAACAACTTCTGCAATCAAATGTGCAAAGATTGAGTGTAACAAGCCGTTCGGTGTGATATACATTGTAGCTAGCTGCCTGCGAAGCTGGTGTGTTACGCCGAAGGGCGGTTATACCGGCTATACCGATACAGATACAGATCCTGCATTTTTCCTCTGGTCTCTTAGTGTCACAGACGATTTTAAGGTACTAGTAGTGGATGCTACCTGAAATGTCTGACTGTTTCCAAAATCATAATATCCAGTTGCTTGAGTAACTGCTTTTTAGCGTATTTTTACGCGGGGGCTTGAGCTGCCATTTTTATGCCCGTTCTACTGCCGGTAACGACAGGCGATAAAGTGAGGTGTCTGTAACGCTTGCCGTCAAAGCCTGATTTGGAGCAGAGATAGCCCACAGACAGATCAATGCTCACCCTTCAGCGGGATAAATGCCCAATATGACTATGAGGCGGTGATAAACCGGATCGTTACCACCAGTGACCCGGTAAAAAAAATGTTGACAACGTGTTCCCGATTTCAGTCACGAAAAAATAAGGGCTGGTAAGAATTCTGTTTTGTTAATTTATTTATTTTTTTAGGTTTCAGCTGAAGCATTTTTCTGATTTGCAAATAAAAATAAGAATTTAGAATCAACTGCAAAATGCTCATATTTTGCCCTGAACAGTCTGGTGTGTTGACTTCATGGCTCCTATTGTACCATATTTTGGGCCATAATAGGATGTCTAGGCCTGTTTTTATTTATTTTTTTCTCCGCCCGCCCGCTCCATTATTTTTCTAGAAAAATCCTTTAACTAAGAAATTAAATTGGTGTGGCCTAATTGTACAATAACTGTGATACTAATACATTGTGTATATAAGCTACATGTAGTTAAATACTGTATGTGTGCTTCTGTCATATGTCATGCAATATTCCAAAATCTTTTTTCTTTCTTCCTCATTCTGTGGTCTTAAATTGACTTCACATCAAAGTCCCTGCAGCCAGACTCGGCTAGACTATATTATGTCCAAAATAAACATGTTGGCAGGCGTGAAGGATTTGCAATGATATCTATTGGCAGGCGCATAAATTGTCTGGTCTTCAGGTGCTGGTTCATTGATTTTCACCCTTTCTGCTTTCCTATCACACACGGCCCATCCCTGTCAGTGCATTATGATGTACTGTAGCTCATCTTCACAGAGTCCATCCCAAGCAAACCGAGACATGGTGCCTTTCACTCTGATGAAAAGTGCATCAATTTTTTCCTCCAATTCCACTATACTACAGAAAAAAGCAGAAACTTTTCCAATGTATTTTTTTCTTCTTTTGTTTTCCTATGTCCCATCCCTGTCAGTGCATTATGATGTACATGCCTCATCTTCACTGAGTAAGTCCATCCCACGCATGCAACTAAACACATTGTATAATAATAAAGGGCTTTTTAGTGACTCTCACTGTGAAAGGTGCATCAATTTCTCAGATGCCAAGACTACTGTTAAAGCAGAAACTTTCGCAATTTTTTTTTTTCGTTTTTCGTTTTTTTCGTTTTCCTATCACACATGTCCCATCCCTGTCAGTGCATTATGATGTACATGCCTCATCTTCACAGAGTACATTGTAAGTCCATCCCACGCTAACCTAAACACGGGGCCTTTTAGTGATGTTCACCATGAAAGGTGCATCAAGTTTTTCCTCCAATTCCACTATACTACCATAAAAGGTATGTTTTTTTTTTGTTTTCCTATCACACATGTCCCATCCCTGTCAGTGCATTATGATGTACTGTATGATGTCTCATTCTCACTGAGTAGTCCATCCCACGCTAACCTAAACACGGGGCCTTTTAGTGACGCTCACTGTAAAAGGTGATTCAATTTTTCCTCTGGTGCCAAGACTGCATTAAAAGCAGAAGAAACTTTCGCAGTGTTTTTTTTTCTTTTTTTCGTGGTGACCTTTTATGAATTTATGACATCTCAAATATTTTCCTTCCTTGTATTAAATAATGACTACGCTTAAATTTCTGAGGGTCACAGACATCCAGGCAGTGAGAAACACAAAGCAAAGAAACTGTTCTTGTCACAGTATCTGCATTCATCATTTGGTATAACCGGTACAACCACCCTTCTGTGTAAAACACCAGCTTCACAGGCACGCGGCGCGGCGGCAGCTGGCTACATTACACCGAACAACTTGTTACACCTAACCCTTGAACATCTAAACCTTAAACATAAGTTTACTCAAGAAACTGCCATAGATAGATTTCAAAACTGTCAGATGATTCAAGTAGCATCCGTTGCTTTTGCTCCACAGAAACACAGTAAAAACCTTTTATTCCCTCCTACCGCGAAATATAACCACCAGAAAACTGATTTCATTCACAGTACCATCACAGCCACCGAGATATTTTTAGCACATTACACACTGTGAGCTTGATGTAAAAGTCTTCCTCCTTATTTTCTATTCCATTACCTTTTCCAATCATTGGATCCCGGATTAGATGGAAGCAGCATTTTTAAGGATGACCTGGCAAGATTCTGAAATCCCCATCTAGTAAATGGACATGATGTTAAACTAGTGTGTGTGAGGCCTAGGAAAAAATGTTGTGTTTCCTGTTTCAGACCTGAAAAAATTAGGGATTTTTTTTTTAAAGACTTCTGCGATATGTATATATAGGGGTTCAATTTATACAATTACATTTTTTTAACAAAGCAAAACTTTCATGAGGACACTTTTATTTTCAATGTCAATATTAGAAAACCAATCATTCAACATTTTATCACTCAGGTGTCAGATTATGGAGCTAGAAAAGGTTGGTCAGCTCAAAAAATTTATGTCCTTTGCAGGGGTCCACGCAAAAGAAAAGTCTAGGGTTGGCAGGTTTTTCTAAGGTTGGTCAAGAAACAGGAAACACAACATTTTTTTTCCTAGGCCTAAACTAGTGTGTGTGACGTGGGAGTCTCTTTCATTCCATTCAGTCTCGGCCTTGCGCTTTTGACTTGCAACTCATCACATCGAGTCCATTAGGGACTAAGGCACACGCAGGGAAAAGGAGGGACAAATCATTACGCATGCTCCTTGGGGGAGAACCGTTAACAGTGGGCCATTTGGAGATGGGTAGGGATGTACAGGGAACACTATAGTCTTGACAATCACAGCAAAATTTATTTTCCTTTTGATTTAACTGTTAGTACCTATTTTATTATGTTAACCAAAACAGAAGGAAAAGAAACGTAATTGCTTTTGCTCAGTTCCTTCCATTCCAAACACATGAACTGGAGCAGTCAATGACCTGGACCAGAAGGCTGTCACCATGGTAACTGGTGCTGTAGCAGACACCCTGTGGTGTTGGGTTACATGATGTAGCAAGAGATGGGTTACCATTATAGATGAATGTTGGGCCAGGCCATGTGAAGGTAAACATTATGCATTTTCTTTGCAAATGTTACCTTTCTAGTTCATTTGTTTGTTTGTTTATTTAGGAAGCTCCCATTAGTGATCATACATCACTATTCTTCCTGGAGTCCTTTACATAAAATACATTAACTGTTATTTACGTACACGTTTAACTGCTATCAAGAAAACTTATATTGATAAACTTCATATTTGCTTTTTGGCTTGAATAGGCGAAAACGAGTGCCCAACACCATATGACTTATGAGGGTAGTAGCATCAAAATACAGTTACTGTAATTCCTGATTGTACTGTTTAAACTGTTACAGTTATGTTCACTGTTTTCACTGTCACTTCTGTATCGTGAACTTTTCATTACTGTTAACAAATAATTCCTGGACTTTCTTTTTCCTGCACCCGTCACCACCGTGAATGTATAGTTCCGTGAACATGTCCATTTTTCTCAGACCGTGAACTTTTGCTGCCATGTACATAAAGTGAATTACAGTATGTGAAATCATAAATTGCTGAACTTTCCGTGTTTTCCACAGTGTTCGTGCCTGGGCCAGCGAGCTTGCTGACAGCCTGAGGGAGATAGTGGACACAGCCAAGTTCGATGACCTGTCAACTGTAAGGAACATTTCTTCTCTTTACTATCATTGTTCCCTCTGTGTTCAGGTTTCTTCTTTTTTTATTTGATTTTATTTATTATTATATTTACCAAAGGAAAACATTGTTTGTGCTCAGTTCCTTCCTCTTCTTCTCCAAACACTGACTTCTAACCTGGCCAATTTGTTGACATCTGTCGCCATGGTAACTGGTGTTGGGTTACATAATGTTGCAATTTCATAATAGGAGAGATTTAGACTATTGTCATCATATATGTGAATATTACATGTCACCATATATGTGAACATTATGCATTTGCTTCGCGAATCTTACTTTTCTAGTTGAAATTGTAACAATACAATACACGTGGGACACAGGCAGCTTTTGCTGGTATTGTGTCCCACACATAGGAACAAATACAGGACAGGCAATACTTATTTTCACTTGAGTTAAGTGAGAGAAGTCATGTTAAGTGCCTTTCCCAAGGGCACAAGATCGGTGGCATGTCAGGACTCAAACCAGGGACCTCTTGTTAGTAAAAACAGTCCCAGGCTGCTGTCACCAGGGAAATGCTGTTCTGAATAATGCTGAATCAGATAATTCGTCTGCCTGTTATAATTTGCATGTAAGTCAAGAACCTAAGCCAGTTAAGCCTACCTGACTCTCTGATTAAGTCCTTGTAATCTTCTCTAATTGCTGTGGATAACATATTAAGAATTTATAGTCATGTTTTTTAATGTAGCCATGTAAATTCAAGCTTTTCAATTTTTTTTAAAACTTTGTGGTTTTGTTGCCAAAATTTCTGCAAATGCACAAGCTTCCAAAAATAGTTCACACCACAGTAGCTAGTTCATACAAAGCACATTCGCTCAGTGCATTATCGGAGTTCTTTCACAGAATGCCAATAGCGCCGCGGCCCTGCCTTCCAACTATCTGGAGTCCCGATGATTGAAAGTAATGAAAAAGTCTGGTCAAGATTACCCCAATTAAGTGGCCCTTTCCAAGGCAAATCAATTTTGCGCGCCCACGTTGAAACGCAGGGCTGCCAGTTCTTTCATCTCTCATGTCCCTGTGTGTGGGCAAGTTGCAACGCCTTCAGGGCTCAAAATAATTTCTTCTGCATTTATAACCTGCATTAAACTAACTTTGAGACTTACTTGTACAAGACAAGTTTTATCTGAACCACAGTGCTCAAAATTTAGGCAGGGTAGACCAAACTAAAAACCATTGCTAGTATTTCCTTTCAATTCAATTCAATTTCAATAAAATTTTTATAATGATGATGACAATGACAATGAAGTTTATTGCATATTCACACCCCACATGGGCCAAATGCACGAAGTTAGATAATTGAGGTACAAAGGTAGAAGGAACAAGTGCTATGTCTATATCTACAGGATCTCTTCTCTCTTTGAGACATGTATGAACAAATTTTACATATATTTCACAGGTGGTAACAGTCTGAATAAAGGAAATAAAGTCCACAATACCAGTCTACATTGTATAGATACATGTAAACCTGGACAAGTGCAGGTTTAAGGTGTAGGTGGATGGTTTGGTTGGTTTATTTAGATCCACAATTAGCTTAACAATTCATATTGCAGCTATTCTTCCTGTGGTCAATTAACATATACACCTGACACACATAAAATAACTTATACAGACATAAACATGTACAGAAACTCCACAAAAACACCAAGTGACAGAACAAAGCTAGCTTACATGACCGCCATATACCTAAAATACCTATTTTACATTTCTCCAAAAGTTGTTGCACATTGTTCCATGCCTCTACAATATTATCAGAAATACCTGCAAATGCGGGTGCTGGAATTTCCAGCCCTGGCCCCTTACAGTCCACCCCCACAGTTCTGGACAGAGTCCAAGTCTATAAGCGGAATGCATCACTCTGACTGCCTGATAATGAATAGACTTTGGTCATTATCTGATAAATGGGACCACCTGGGTCACTTCTGCGATCGCTTTACCGCCGGATTACCACAGAACGTCCTTTGCTTTCTAAGAAATCTGAATCCTTCAAACGACTCAACCGATCGCAATCCGCTATATGTAATTGCAGACTATCTATTAATAATGTATAGACTGCTGAGATTTGGAGTGTTATTACTTCACTTTTGGTAATGGAAGTATTGTTTTGGGTGGCTGATTTGTGGGTTTGTGTCACTTCTGCGATTGCTTTACCGCCGGATTACCACAGAACGTCCTTTGCTTTCTAAGAAATCTGAATCCTTCAAACGACTCAACTGATTGCAATCTGCTATATATATGTAATTGCAGACTATTGATAATGTAGAGAGTGCTGAGATTTAGAGTCACTTAGTGTTATAATTACTTTGGGTATGGAAGTATTGTTTTGGGTGGCTGAGTTGTGGGTTTGTGTCACTTCTGCGATCGCTTTACCGCAGGATTACCACAGAACGTCCTCTGCTTTCTAAGAAATCTGAATCTTTCAAATGACTCATTCGACAACTGATCGCAATCTACAATGTAATTGCAGAATATCTATTAATAATGTAGAGACTATTGAGATTTTGAGTGTTATTACTTTTGGTAATGGAAGTATTGTTTTGGGTGGCTGAGTTGTTTGTTTGTGTCACTTCTGCGATCGCTTTACCGGCAGGATTACCACAGAACGTCCTTTGCTTTCTAAGAAATCTGAATCTTTCAAACGGAGTAGCTTATTGCAATCTGCTATATGTAATTGCAGGCTATCTATTAATAATGTATAGACTGATGAGATTTTGAGTGTTATTACTTTTGGTAATGGAAGTATTGTTTTGGGTGGCTGAGTTGTTTGTTTGTGTCTCTCTGTCTGCGATCGCTTTACAACAGGATTACCACATAACGTCCTTTGCTTTTCTAAGAAATCTGAATCTTTTGAATGACTCAACTGATTGCAATCTGCTATGTAATTGCAGACCATTTACTATTAATAATAGACTGGCTGCTTAGATTTTAAGTGTTATTTTTTTTTTACTTCTGCCAAGGTTATGTTTTCAGTAGTGTTTGTCTGTCTGTCTGCTTTTCTGCCTGCAAGCAGCATACATAACTCAAAAAGCTATAGATGTATTGTGACAGTCATGAAACTTGGTAGGTGGGTAGGTCTTAATGAGACTACAAATAACTAGATTTTGGGGCAATCTGCTACTTAGTATGTAATTGCAGACCATTTACTATTGATAATGTAGAGACTGCTGAGATTTTGAGTGTTATTACTTTTGGGTATGGAAGTATTGTTTTGGGTGGCTGAGTTGTGGGTCTGTGTCTTTGCTTGTCCTCATACATTGTAGCTTTGGTTGTATAGTGGGTGGGAGGTGATTTTGACAGTTGACTGATAGGGTATCAACCTGAACGTGAACCAACATACACTGGGTGGTAGTAAGTGGGTATGTGGAGGAATCTAGGAAGTACCCATCAATTAAATCCCACCACACAATCCCTCCAAAGTATCAACACCCCCAAGAATAAACACTTCCTCGAGGTCTGTGAACTTGAAGTTGAAGGTCAAGGAAGCCCAAAGTACAGTACTTCCTTGAAGTCCAAAGTCTCCAATTTCTAGTTTGTAATTTGAACTGTAGTGGCAGAAACGTAAGAACGTGTTTCAGCTGTGATTTACTATTATAGACCGAAGATCAATTATTGGACAGGTTGGCTTTCAGTATTCCATTCAGCCAAATGCAATAAATAAATGAGAGACCATCCATACCCTTTCTGTAAGTGCTATATAATCAATTCCAAGAACACAAATGGAAGGGGCATAACGGGGCATTTTTAAGTGGCCAATCACCAGTCATGATGTAAGTGGGTGTAGGTCATTGATTTTGTGCTACTACATGTAGTATTGATCATGCCTTTTGAGTGAGTGCTTCCTGTTATTAACAGATGTTTTACAAAGAAGAAATCAGAGATTTCAGATCCTGAAAGTGTTTGGGGTATCTATACATGTGAATGTATTGGAATGCACTGTATTCTATGCATGATCATGGGGAAATACCCAATTGAGTTACGTCATAAAATTGATTTTGTTTACCAAAGGAAAACAATTTTTGCTCAGTTTCCTCTTCTTCTTCTTCTTCTCCAAACCAAAAAGGTCATTGACCTGAACCAGACAGCTGGTGCCATGGTAACTGGTGTTGGGTTACATCATGTTGCAATTTCACAGCAGAAGGGATTTAGACTCCTGTCTGACCATATTATACATGTATATGAATGGGTTTTAGTAAGAATTAACAGACCAGCATTAGCTTTGCAAATAATACCTTAACTAATCATTCATACGATCGTATGATCTAACTCACTCCCACATTATACCATTATAAGTTTATATTTCATACCGTCAGATTATACACTAATACATTCCTGGCAACCTCATACAGCATCCTACCACCCAGGGCATTCTAGGTCACAACCTTGTCAATCAACTAACTGAAACCCAATTTGGTTGTATCTGTTAGTTTGCATCTGATTCAATTTTCCATGCATACATTGGAATGCAAAATATTTTTTTTCATTGCTGTAAAGAAGAAAAATCAATTTTACAAATCTCCTTTTGAGTGATTTTAGTAAGTAAAATCCTAGGTTTTTAACACAAATCCCAGGATTTCAACACACTTACAATGGATCCATTTTACAACGGTATCACATTTGTATTCCTCGAACATCGACTAGGCAGTTTGATAAGGTATCATAGATTTAACTTCTTAGTATAAAGAAATTACCAACATATTGACTTTTTTATTGCCCCAATCTTTCCATATGGGGCCTTAAAGCATTTCGCAGAATCATAAAAGTAACACTTTGGGTATTCTCAATTATTGTTTTGAAAATTAATCGGCAATTTGCCAGCACCCTTCATTATTATATATTATGCATATGTTACATGCACATGTAATATAATATGTCCTATGTATGGTAGAATTCTCTGTATCTGTATCAGATTCTGTATCTGTATAGCCAGTATAACCGCCCTTGGCGTGGCGGCAGCTGGCTACAATGGACCG